AATATCAGGTATAATCTTCTTTACACATAACTTTCACAATGTTGAAATTGAATTTACTGGAACGGTAAAAATCTGTTATTCAATTCTAAAGCACTCTGTTTCTTCATTATGACAAATCAAATAGAGATAGTTCGCAGATACAAATCTCACAAGTTTCTAATAGTTGATAACAAAAACCTTTGTTTTTTCAGAATCTCATGTCAAAATCGTCTGAGTCTTGTAAACTAAGAAACTAGATTAACTACATTATTTTAAGAGATAACTTCAGATTATCATAGAAAATAGAAGAAACCTTGTTTTGAAAATAGCTGCAAAGTATTATACTAGATAACCAAATATCTAATGAACATTATCTATAGATACGTCTGCTGAAATTTAGGACAAGTTTATAAGCATTGAACCATAATAGAATGGGCGTTTTCAATGTTGTGCATAATTTTCTGCTAGGAATGTTTGAAAAAATTTTCTATTAATTATTATTTGAATTTGTATTTAATTAAATAATTAATTCTTTGTTAGCGCCATTAATCAATACAACTGCAACTAACAACATAACACAAATACTGACAACCAGTATATCAACAACAATTGTTTCATCAACAGGTCTGAAGACTAAAACTGTTCTGCTTTAAAGATAGGATCATTAAAAAGGAAAATCAATTTTTCATTATGTTTGTATTTTATGATTTTTACTGTAGAAGGATGTCTATAAAAATTCGACCATCTCATTTATTCGACACTATACATTAAACAATTTATCAATGTCTGTTTTGATCATATAATATCAGACAAAGAAAGATTGTGATATATGATGTTTTTATTCTAAATCTTCCATTCATTCATTTTTATATTCAATTGTTTTTTTCATATAAAACTAACGCATCCTACTTTCCAAAGTACCCAATACTAGTATATCTGAAGAATCGTTAGGTATTGCAGTATCTAAAAGTATTTTTTATATTTTTCATATTAATACTATGATACTTCGGCTTGTTCGATCAACTAACTTTTTGAGAGTTCTTCAGAAAATTCTGTAGAGAACGAAAAAGTGCTTAACCCCTTAACTGTTAATTTTGTTTTCTGAAACTATTTTTCTTATCCAAACTTTTTATATGTATAGCACACCTCACACTTGAACTTAAGTATTCTACTACCCATCTACAAGAAGATGACAGTGACGGGTGGGGGGGGGGGAGGGGGCAAGAGTGAACAGAGAGCATGGGTGAGTGTAGAGCACAGGAAGAATATGAGTAAGGAGAGCAGGAGTAATTGGGCAAGTAGAACATCAGTGATGACGAAGGGAAGAGAAATATAGAAAGAGAATATTTTAATACTTGAAGTAGACAATTGAATTCCACTTTCAAGTTTGATACTACTCAATTTTTATTGAGTCAGTTTTCCCTATAATATGAAATCCTACCCCTTCACAGGGGCCTCTAGTGTTTGAGTCTATTGTAACAGTTTAAACTTAAAAAAAGTAATTGATAATATATTTCCTTTTAGTAATTGTTGCAATGTTTATAACTTTGATATAAACATAGTTATTATAATTTGTTTTCTATTGGTCTAAACTACAGTATCATATTTTCTCGTAAGCGCAGTTTATCGATAAACTCTTATTTTTCTAGTTTATCAGATTTTTATCAGTGACATACATCCTCACTTAACTATTTTCAATGAAATATTTACATATATATATATATATATATATATATTATATTTTTCTTTTCTTAGCATCATCATCATCTTGCCAGTTAACGTTTGAATTATTAACTAGGCAATTCGATAACCGACAAGCAGAAGGCTCAATTGCTGTGAGTGATTTTAATAACGATGGTCAATGGGATATTATTTTACCTCTTTTTCGCCAGTACACTAATATAGTAGTGTTTGGGGATGGCTATGATTCCTTCATAACATCAACAATAATAGGCACGGGATGTTCCTCGACTGGAACATATGTCATTGCCGCTGATATCAATAACGATGCTCAGATGGATATTGTTACTGCTTGTGACGGGGGTCCAAACATAGTCAGCATTGTACTTGGAAATGGCGATGGATCTTTTCGTGAGGCAATAGTATATTCAACAGGAGAAGACGGATATGCCATATGGCTCGACACCGGCGATTTCAATGGTGACGGTAACTTAGACATTGTTGCCTCTATATATGGAATTTCCGGTAATCGTACTGTAGAAGTGTTGTTTGGGGATGGTAATGGATTCATCGGAGGACATACACGGTTTTCGACAGGACAGAAAGACCCTTCGTGGTCACTTGTTGTTGGTGATTTCGATAATGACAGACAATTAGATATTGCTATCGGCAAATTTTATGTGCCACAGATAGTTATGCTGCTAGGATATGGCAATGGGAGTTTTGGACCACCCATAATCAAT